ACCAAGTCGTGTGTTGTAGGTGAAACTGCCTCAGCCTACATAGGAGATACAGCCTTTGGTTCCCCTTTTTACACATTTCCAGGACGTGCATGTCCCACTTCAGATCTGACTGAAAGGTTACTCCTAAGCACTTGGCGATACTGACAACTTCAAGTTCATGGCCGCCAATGGTGAGAACAGGAGGAGGAGGAGGAATCCGGACAAAGCAGACTTGCATTGCCTTACACTTTCCCGGGTTCATTTTCATTCTGTTGGTTTCTGTCCACGTAGAGAGGTTGTCAAGATCGCCCTGTAGTGTAGGTGGATGTGCAGCAAGTCTTGTTTCGATCAGGTTCAGATCATCCACAAAATGCCCACGACTTAGCGGTCAGGTTGTCGGTGATGCTATTGACGTGAGCTATAAAGACAATAGGGCCGAGTTTCGTTCCCTGTGCCAGGCCACATGTAAGGTGTTTCACTTGCGAGAGAGTTCCCTGGTACCTGGTTTTCTGACTCCGGTCAGTGTGAAAGTTGGCAATCCATGGAACAAGTTCCGGGCGGACTCCAAGCTCCAGGAGGTGACGTATGGCTGTGGTATGATCTACAAGATCGAAAGCCTTACTAAAGTCCGTCAGTACCCACGTGCTGCTTGTTCCACGCCTGTCTGCCGACTTGAACAGGTGGTCGGCCAAGTTAACAAGACAATGCGTCGTCGAACGACCCTTCAGACATCCAAACTGACTGGGAGATATGTTGTTACCGATGTCCTGTAGTACCCACGAAGCGATGAATCCCTCACAAACCTTCGCGATTAAAGACGTCAGTGAGACTGGACGTAACTGATCGATGCTTGGTGGGTGAGACTTAGGAAGTGGAACAACAACAGCTTCCTTCCACTCCCGTGGCACTATGCCTTCATACAGAGACTCGTTAAAGATATTCGCGATCGGCGTGCAGAGTTCGTATGCAAACTCTTTCAGTAGGACGCCGTTTATTCCATCCGGCCCAGGTGATTTCTTCACCTTCACTTGTAACAGTTTGTTGTACACCTCCCATGGAAGAACTGTGGGGGGAGCGCGTGACGGAAGAAACGCTGGTAGCTTGGTGTCGTCAAGCGGTGGTAGGGATGTTGTGATGTCGGTGAACTTGTTGTTGATGATATTTGCAATATCACTCGGGGTGTCAGGTACACCTTGCACTCTTACCACCATCTCTTTCCTCTGTGTGCCGGTGAGAACTTTTAGCTCCTTATACCAAGCACTAGGATTTTGCTTCTTTAGTTTCTGAACTCTGTTGCTGTAGAACTCACTTTTGGCCCTTTTATTTGCTCTTTGGACTTTTATTGCGAAGTGTTCACCATGTTACCCAGTCCTGACCCTCGAACGCGCGCTGACGGAGCTTGATCGCGGTCTTGATCACTGGTGACATCCATGGTTTGTCTTGGATGTGAGTCTTGATT